ACATGAGGTCGCGCTCGGGTCGTGTTGCGATAGGTGTACGTATATACGAGCGTACTTATAATACGAGCAAACATGTAAGCAATAAGCCGCAGCTGAGCTCCCCCTTTGCGTCCCAGTGTTCGCGTCGCGTCAGGTTGAATATAAAGAGCTTCAAGTCTCAACTCCATTATACTCGAAAGTTTCCCCTCATCCAACACCCGTTATCGTATCCCTTGCTGGCTTGCCGTCAACCTACTCGCAAGAATCGATACAATCGATTATCCCCAAAACCTACATATATATATATATATATATATATATATGAGCGACTGCCGTGCCTCTCTACCAGCTCTGCGACCATCTGTGCAGTCAGTCAACATGGCAAACACAGCATCTCTCCTCCCAACCATCCCCCGAATCTTCTTCGTCTACCTCGAACCCATCATGATGTAAGCAAATTACTTCCCTTCTTCCTTCTTCCTTATGTCCACACATAAATCACACGATCCTAAGAAAGAGAAATTTTTGACCCCCTTCCCGCACAGCTCCTACGGCCTAGCCATGCAATACGCCACGCGCCACTCCCTCTTCAGCGCCCACCCGCAACCCCCGATGGCGGCCCTCGCCGTGCCGGGCCTCTCGGGCACCTACCTGCTCAGCATGATGCTCTACGGCCTGGCCATCCTGCTCGTCGGCCCGCCCAGCAAGCGCCTGCTGCAGACCCACATCGCCATCCTGGCCCTCGCCGACTTCACCCACTGGGCCGCCCTGTTCTCGGCCATGGTCGAGGCCGACCCCGCCGGGCGCGGCTGGCTCGCCGTCGTCGCCGATACGGCGGCCTGGTCCGATGACGTTTGGGCCCTGGTTACGTACCCCTTGGGCACGCTGGCCTTCAAGTTTGCGACGCTGGCGGGGGTGTTTGGGAGGATTAGGGAGGGGTGAACGGTGAGGGGTGAGCTTGGGGGCAGAGCGGATCGATGGAGTGCTCAAAGGTCAAATGGGTAGTCATGGGTTTCGTTGATAATTCCATTATGGGATACGGCTTTTCGGTTTGAGTGTGCGGCATCTTGTGCGCCTCGCCCTATCACTGCGCTAGCAATCGGCTTATCCCCTGAGCAGCGTAAGCGTGAATAAGCTAGATGAGATTGCGAGTGGTGAAGAAAGGGGCGGCTGGTGTGATGGGTCTGGGATATTGCGAGGAGTAAACTCTAGAGACCTACCTAGATAATCTGGTCCGGCTCTTGATTGCTGAAACGACACGGCGTGGACGTTCGAATCAGGATGTTCTAATCCATGAAGCTGGGCACAGCTCCCTCTCCCCTGCCTGGTATTCTCAACATGGTTCATCGGCCGGACTTGATTGTATCTGAAGGACAATGAATCTCATAGGGTGGGGAAACGGAAAAAGGGAGTGATCATACTTCCCGAGGCGTCATCACGTCCGAACTCGTAGAGTCAACCGCTGCTCCTTCACCATCTCGAGACGTCTAGGAATCGCGCTCCCGTGCGTCCTCGAACGAGATGTCAGCTGAACACTCCCCACATTGTCAGTGATACACTGACAGGTACAAGGTCGTGAGTGAATAAGATTCGGTTTCGCAAAGCTGATGGTGTGACGACACTCAGTCACCGCCCTTCGTAAACATAGCTCTCACCAGATCGGGGGGGATCAAAACTGTCTTCCGCCGCATCTTTGTCAAAGGAAGCATGCGGTGTGGGCGTCGCGGCCGTGAGCGCACAAGGGGTCTACTGTGGTCATCCGTGTGACGAGCTCCACGAAAGTCATGCCTACTGGAACCGACTCACCACTGTTAACGAGTCCTAGGAGCTGGGATATTTGCTCCCGCCGAGGGCGGGTTTAATCTCCTCCTACCTGATGCCCTTGATTCCCAGGCCGACGAACCCCAATGGTGCTCCAGGTCGAGTATGTATGTCTCAAGAAGGAAACATCAAGTCATATTGCGCTTATGTTTCTACGAACCGTGCAACGAAGACACCGCCGAGTCCCCCAAGATACTCATCACGTCGTCTTTATACCACGGATTGATCTCGTCGGATCGAGCTAGCTCGAGAGAAACGACGTTGGACTGGGAGGAGAGCATGTGTCTGAAGAAACGGTATATAAAGATCGACGTCGACCACCCCCAAGACAGCCAGAAAGAAAGGCAGGAAAACAAACCATCAGCACCCATCCCCCCCAAGACAGAACAGAAAATTCGCCCACATATACAACTTGATATCACAGACCGAAGACTTGCCTCAAGATGCAGATCAGCAGCGTACTCACCACCATCCTCCTCGCGGGAACAGCACTCGCCGCCGGGATCCCGCGGGACCAGCCGGCGTCGGAGGCCGCCGCCCCGGCCTCGCCTCGTTCCGAGGACACCGAGGATAAAGACTGCGGATATCCCAGCTGCGGCGTATGTGTGTTATCGTGTTTCTTGCCTGCCTGCCTGCCTGCCTGCCTGCCTCCTTAAAGACTTTTGCTATGTCGATCGCGACCAGACTGCATCATCGCCGGAGATATATGGCTAGAGCTCTTGATCAAAATTACATTCTTTAGTGTTTGGAATTCGAACCTTCCTATCTTGCTTGATTCGTGATGTGTGCAGTGGTCGTTGTGCTCTCTGTATATACATGGCGTTTCATTCAACTTCTCTCCGTTCAATGTCACTCAACCCCCCTTTACTCCGTGCTCACTTCGGTAGGCGATGACTTAATTCCAATGATGATGCAAGGGGACTCATCTTGGGACATGAAGAGAAAACTTTATGGAGTAGCCAATATGCTAAGCTGAAGGGAATGGCGCAATGTGGATACAGGATGAAGGCCGTAAATCCGTCTATTAGCCCCCGCCCTGAGCTTCTCACGTAGTCCTCTATAGAGCTATAGAGTAAGAAGCGGCATGACGAAGAAGCTTTTTCGACCAGATAGGCGATTTTGCCGCTCCAGAACGCCTCATAGCTTCTCTCATATCTTGACTCTCCTCCCACGTCGATGCGCAAAGCACCTGCCCACCCCCCCTATTCCTCGCTCAAAGCGTCGGCCAAGCCATATTGATCTCCTGCAGCTCCCCCGGCCCCCGGAAGTCTTCCGCGATGGTAGCCTGCTCGCACAGCAGCGTGCGCTCGGCCTGGGAGCCGATCTTGGCCAGGCCCCTCCACCTCTCCAGATCATCGGCGTTCCTCTTGTCGCCGTGGGCGGCCTCGGCCTGCTCCCAGTGGCCCCGGGAGAAGCCCAGCATGGTGGTGACGCGGGCCTGGGTGATGTCGTAGACGAGGCTGCAGATGGTGCCCGTCTCCTCGAGCCAGCTGCACTGCCAGAGCTCGCCGGGGCGGACGCACTGGTACGTGGCGGCCTGGTAGTTGCGGCGGCCCGCCATGGGGCCCCCGTGGATCGCGTACACGATCCGGTCCTCGTTGTAGAACCACATCTCGTACCGCCACTTCTCCGGCTTCCCCGAGGCCGTGTTGCTCCCGGGCACGTCGTAGTCGTAGATCAGGTGGCGGTTGCGGATGTCCTGGTCGAAGGAGCCGCTGTCTACGGATCCGACCACCGGCATGGTGATAGGGATATGGGGGGGGACTCTGGGGCAGGTGAAAAACTTCGGAGAATGAAGGGTTTGTCAGAACCGTGAAAGACAGTATAGTTGAAACTTCTGAGTATGTTATTTAAAGACTCGTTCGACCTTCAATGATGTGATAGACTTCCACGTCCCCAGGCAGGGTCGAGATGGTCCACTAACTTTAGTCGGTTCTTCTAAGTTAGCTCCTCCTGGATTCTCCCGTCAATCGCCTAACGCCATGAGAAGGACCGAATCGTAAAGAAACTCGTCATCATGCCTACCTAGAATATCGGTCTCACGCCTGAGGTCGCCAAGTTTGTTGGATGGGAATTAGTTCCCAACCTCGAAGTGTTGTTGTAGTGGACTAATGTTCACCTGGATGCTTTGTCATGTACATTCCAACCTCTAGTCTACCCCTCAGCTTGTGCTGCGACAACATGCACTGGTACGTGTTGCTGGCGCGAGTCTGTTTGGTTGTGATACGTGGTACAGCAACACGATGCTGGCTTTCGTCTTATAGCTAGCCATGCGTGATATCGGATGGTTCGCCCTTCCGCCTATAGATATATCTACTTCCCCAGTACTGAGACCCCTCGGTCTCATCTTCATCTTCTATCCATCGTTGTCTTGCACAGTCTTACTGTCCCTTTTCTTCCGTTGTGATGTGAGAAGCAAGATCAGAGACCCCGCGCAGAGCATCCCAGCACCTCGGCTCTTGTCTGCAATCTCAGGGTCATGGTCCTTATTAGCTGCTAACATTCTCTACGCTACACTGAGCGTTTTGGCCAAATGACAACGCGATGGACTGCCGCCGAGCAATTCGCAGATTCTGCCTGTCTACTTTAAAGTCCTCCAGGGCTATGCTAAGGAACGGCGCTGTTCATCACCGCAATGTTCTGAGCGCCAGCAGCTCGCCATTCTTCTGCTGATGAGTAACTAAGTAGAGCTGATCCTACTACCCATCGGTAAAAGGCCTCTGGAGTCATCCTTTGGGATTGCTTGTTCTTGAATTGCATGCACGTAGGTCTGCTTGGGTCCATCCTCCTGAGGATGCTGGATGTTTGGGTAAGTACTGTAAACCTCCGATTGACGGCAGCGAGAAGCATCATGTTCGTTCGTGCTTACGATATGTGGCGGCTGGTCAGCCACAGCCAACCACTTCCATGAGTGATAATAACATGAGCTCTAGAAATATTCTTCTCGCTTTGGCTTTGGGAACGATGATATTCTGAAGGATTACACTCTGTATGTCAGGCAGGAGCTAATGATGCGCACCTGTTTCTTCTTCCTTGATCAAGCATCCTCTTTCCCTGCCATTGGCCACGAGCCTTGGTCGGCCCCTCCTGTCTTGGCAGAAATCTTAACTTTGGTCGGGTAAGAGCCACTTCGTAGACGCCCGGAAAAGAGGAGTCATAGGTCAAGATTAGGAAAGAAGCAACCATCAATCATACCACATCTCCTAGTAGCTCAGTTGGTTTAGAGCGTTCGGCTGTAATTGTACAAGATCACCGAAAGGTCACCTGTTCGACTCAGGTCTGGGAGAGTTAAACTTTTGCATTCCATACCGCTGGTATTCTGTTTTCTTTTTCGTTTTCACTTCTTCTAAAACCTACAACATGTGCAAGTGAGTGTTCTAGCTGGTAATGCAGGCTCATTTCAATACCTACCCGCCTCTTTTTTATTTTTGTCACGGCGCCGCCTTACTCATATGGACAGACGTTTAAGACAGCGCACTGGTCGAGAAATGGCAATAGCCTGCCTCGACTATCTGAATGCGCACACGAAAGGTCTGACAGCAACCAACTTCTACAAAAGCCTCGACTGCCCGCCCGACCGCCCCTCTTGGTTCTGAATAATCAATCCACTGCTGATGGGTCACGCTGGCGTCTAGACATGAGCGATGCTTATGAGTTGCCATTACTAAATGCCTGTCATCTCTCAATAGCTCAGTTGGTTTAGAGCGTCCGGCTGTAATTTGAACTTGAATATCTAATTACTCTGAGATACTTCTGATTACCGGAAGGTCACCTGTTCGACTCAGGTTTGGGAGAAGCCTCGTCAGCACGTCAACTGTCGATAGCCTTTTGAGATTTTTGCTGAATTTTTTTTATTTTTTTGCTCTGGTCTTGGCTTACCAGCAGCTCTCTCTGTATGCTGAAGTGTCTATCTATCTGTTGATACAAAAGAAGAATGTGAATCTGCTGCAATGCTTCTTTTGTCTCATTGCGAAATTTGCGTTGGTTTCGTGTGCTAGAAGTTTTTGATGACCCTGGAACTTGAAGGGGAAGACGGGAAGAAAGCGAAATAAATACCTAGGGCAGGAAGTGGATTTCGTGATTGGCGATTCTCTGGCGCTTCCAAGCCAGGGAAAACTGCCGCTAGACAAGTCAAAGGTTTTAAACACTGAAAAGTTGCTAATATCTCTTGTGACCTGAATGAAGTCTGATGCAATGCTAAAAAGTGCGTGCTTGAGAGGCTTTCCGGGAAAACCGGAGGTGCTTGTGGGTTGTGATCATCAGCGCAAGAAATCGGAAACAAAAAATGGCGGGGTGAGGTGGCAGACAAGATACTATAAACAATGAATGGAGTTGGTGGGGGGTTTCAATCAATCAACCAAGCAACAATCAATCACCCCCTCCAAAATAGGAGAAGCCATCCATACACGTCGTTCGTCACGCCACGCATAACCACTAGAACCGGTTACAAAGATCTCGCGAAGCATGTCGCCTCTATCCCGCGCTCTCAAGACCATCATCACCCACAGCCTCCTTCTCACACGTCCCGGCATCTTCTCGTCATCATCTTCATTACCAATCCCCTTGGCCCGCCGCGGCGCCAATGCCATCCTCAGAAGGGCCATGACCATGGCCTCCTCCTCCTCCTCGTCCACGGCGGCCAGGCGCCTGCAGGGTAAGACCATCGTGATCACGGGGGCCTCGTCGGGCATCGGCCGGAGCACCGCGCTCGAGTTCGCGCGCGCCTGCCCGCGGGGGAACCTGAAGCTGGTGCTGACGGCACGCCGCCTCGACGCCCTGCGGCAGGTCGCCTCGGACATCGCCGCCGAGGTGGGCGGAGAGGAGGAGGAGGGAGGCGAGGGCGAGGGCGCCCAGGGCCGCCCGAGGGTGCTGCCCGTTCGCCTCGATGTCAGCAAGCCAGAGGAGGTCAGGGGATTCGTGGCTGGCCTGCCCGAGGACTTCCGGGCTATCGACGTTCTGGTCAATAATGCGTGGGAGTCCTTTTCTTCTATCTATCTATCTATTCTTTACTTTGGTCTTTGTCCCTTGCCATATATTCCCCGCTCCCCTCTTTGCGGCGTTGTTCCATGACTGCTTGCTTATCTTTCGAAAGTCGGGCTTTCTTTGTCTAGAATAGTGTGCATTAAGATACTATGTAAATATACTAATGCCGGGACAGCGGACTCGTCAAGGGCGTGGCAAAGGCCCCCGAGATCGCGGAGGAAGATCTAAATATCATGTTCGCGACCAACGTGACCGGCCTGATCAACATGACCCAGGCGATCCTGCCCGTCTTCCAGAAGCGACCCGGCGGCGGTGCCGGCGATATCATCAACATCGGCAGCATCGCCGGCCGAGAACCCTACGCGGGCGGAAGCATCTACTGCGCCACCAAGGCGGCCGTTCGGTCGTTTACCGAGTCTCTGAGGAAGGAACTCATCGCTACGAGGATTCGTGTCCAAGAGATTGACCCGGGTCAAGTTGAGACTGTGAGTCTTGGCCGTCTTGATGAGATTGCTTGCTGGATGTCTGGTCGTGAGCTAAATGTGATTTCAGGAGTTTTCGGTTGTTCGGTTCTATGGAGATAAGTCCAAGGCTGATGCTGTCTACGCGTATGAACCACTTCCGAGATCTTACCTGCATCTTACCTGCCTTTACTAATTGTCATTAGGGGCTGTGATCCGTTGACTCCGGATGACATTGCCGAAGTAGTTGTCTTTGTTGCTAGCAGGAGGGAAAACGTTGTTGTAGCAGACACACTGATTTTCCCTAACCACCAAGCTGGTGCCACTTCCATGCATCGAAAATCATGAGCATCATACACAGGTAGGGCAAGTCAATGTATTACTCTATTTGATTTGATATGGAAATTGTAGATTATCGACCTAGATGCACTACGGCTGAAAGTCATACAATAATTTCTTGGGCGCCATTGCAAGTCACAACACAATGGCTGACAAACAATTACAGGCGATATCAAGTCCTTTTGCTCGTGGCTTTTAGTGGAATCCAAAACTTACCAATAAAGTCGACTGAAAAACAGTTGTGCGTGCTGATGAATTATGAGGACCTGCTGGCATTGTCTGTTAGCCTGATTTTATATCAAGATTCAACAGAAAATTGGCAATATGTCAATTCAGATAAACCAGTTTACTCATTCACACGAATCGGCCCTCTTGCCCAAGCCTCAATACGAGACTTGGGGTTCGAGGACACGGAAGCCAACATGACACTTTGGACGAGCAACCATACATGATAGCAGCCGACCAAGGATAACTCCACAACCAATCATCACATACCGAGGCAGCTATGGTGCGGGAGGGTGGCTCGACCCGACGTGAGATAGTTGAATGGATAAACTATTTTCATCATGATAGGTGGATCGCTTGGTGAAAGACAACGAGTTTCGACTTACCAAGGATGAGCTCCAAACAACCATACGATGGAGCGAAAGATTTGTAAATCTATTTCCCAGTTAGCTCTGCTGTCATTCGAGCACAGGGTAAAACAGAGAAATCAGGATATATGTGTGTTCAGAGTAAAGTTTTTGGTATATGGGTATCTTCAAGGTGCTTCAGAAGCAGAACTGATTTGATAGGTCTCATCATGGACAGGGCGGTGCGACAGACGGATGGAACTGGTATTCTTACCTACGGTTGCGCAAGCCACGGAGGCTTTGCTAGTAGTCGTTGGGTTCAGTTGGAGCAATATGCCACGACTAGAACACACTCTGGTCAGTTGTGTGACTGCAAGACATTGCCATAAAATAAGATGCATCAGGTGGTGCTTCAGATGGTAGTGCATGTTTGTTCAGTTGCTCAGGTGATCGCAAGAACTGTGGAAAAGAGTTCATCAATAGCAAATGTGAAGGGGAGGCTCGACATTGACGTCGGTTCATTGTAACAGGAGTGCCCAAGGCATGAAAAACTGCGTAGACTTACCAGAGTTTACTGGCTATCCCACATCTCCATCTCAAGTCGACCTTGAAGCAAAGTGCCGACCGGACGTGTCAGATAAGCGCAGGGGAAGAGATGTGGGAGCCTAATATGTTTAAGAAACAGTAATCTGGCCTTGATAGTATCGTAGGGTAAACGTAGGTAAGCGTGTCTAGCTTGGTGCTCGAGTTGAATGGAATAGATGGTAGATGAGAAACTTTTGAGGAGGAAAGGAAATTTGAAGTCGTGGAATTCTCAGAAAATTCTTGAAGCAAGCAGCAAGCCGAGTATGGCCCGTGCTCAAGCTTGACTGTAGGTATGGCGGGGCAGCTATGGTACGTACCGATAAGTACCGATAACATCGACAATATTGTTGATTATCGACCTGGAAATTCTGGTGCAAACTTCGACAGCTTCACATTTTGTGAGAAACACAAACACAGCCATCTGCCTTCTTCAGTCAAATGCGAAGTTAGGTCGGATAGACTCCCCTTACAACAACTATGGCTGATCGAAGACGAATAAATGGCCCCGTAGGGCCAACATCACCTCCCATATTCGACAAGCCACCTCAGGCACCAGCCAACAGGAAAGCTACCTCTCGGAAGGCGGATGACATAAGGAAAATCTGTAAGTTGTATCCGCGATTCTTTTCTATGCTGGAGCAATGAGAAGGTTGTGCTGACCGATAGTCTCCTCGTAGTCCTGAAGACTGGTGTCACCCCTTCGGCCTCGGGCTCGGCATATCTCGAGCTCGAGAATCCAAATCAGAACGAACAGACCAATACCACCAGCTTGAAGCTCACCTGTACCGTCCATGGACCTCGTGCCCTCCCGCGATCCGCCCCCTTCTCCCCACACATCATTCTCACGACTCACGTCAAATACGCTCCCTTCGCGACGAGACAGAGGCGAGGTTACTTGCGCGATTCGACGGAAAGAGATCTGGGGGTACATCTAGAGACAGCTCTGCGAGGAGCGATTATCGCGGATCGATGGCCGAAAAGCGGTGTAGACATCATTGTCACCATCATTGAGGGAGATCAGGATCGCAATGCTCCACAGAGACAGCGTGATGGCGGCTGGGATACCATGAACGTCCTGAGTGGCTGCATTACCGTAGCGTCGGCCGCGATCGCAGATGCTGGTATCGACTGCGTCGATATTGTTGGCGGAGGAGTGGCGGCCCTGGTAGTCCCCAAAGATGAGAGCAAGGGGAAGATACAGAAGCAGCCAATCATCGTTCTCGATCCGGTTGTTGCAGAGTGCCAGCAGATCCTTGCGGCGTGTTGTGTCGCCTACCTACCTACCAGGGACGAGATCACGAATATATGGTTCAAGGGTCAACTGCATGGATCGGATGGTATGGTTTACGAAGATTTGGTTGAGAAAAGTCTTGTGGCCTGTCTCAATGCCAATCAGGTTGTCGTGACAGCATTGAAGGAGACAGCCTCTAGAGAGAACACCATTGAAGGGCGAGGTCAAGTTGCATCTTGAATTTTAGGAAGGGTCGGCACCGCTTGATGGACAAGCCATCTCAGTATACGTACCTACCGCCAGGCTGGACTTATACGCCGAAAATCAACGCATAACTCTCTAATGAACCTTGGAAGGCCAGGCACCAGGAGGCATACCGTGACGAAGGCAGCCTTGGCTATTCCAGCCCGTGTTTTTGAATCCAGGCATTAGTGTTTGCGCTACAGCAAGTACGTTGGGCCCACCGTGAACCAGCCAGTTGTGATCTGGCGAGGTTTATGTCATCCTGCTTGTGAGGATCTAGACATGCCTGATGCTGTGGTACGGATTTGATTCCGGATTTGATTCAGGGGAAAGGTCGGGCACATTTGTTTGCCATGAGTGCCATAGGAGATAATGTGGGAC